GGGACACAAATATTCAGAACTTGGTCCCAACTGGCCAGGAAGAATATGGACAGGGCAAGCGGTGGCTGAAGTTTTTAGTGTGGATGATGCATTGGTAGTGAGTGGTGCTAAAGGACATGGCTGGGGGAGGAGACTTGGTACCTCTCCATATAGCTGGGGATCAAACCCAAGAACCCAAAGCCTGGTGCATGCAAGTGCTTTACCCCCTGCTTTTAGACTAACAGCTTTATTGTGGTTTTAAGTGATACAGAAGCTCTAAGCTGTAGGAGGGTCTCCTGCAACCGACTTGGAGGTCACTACAGCTACAAATGGATAAATGTGAGGCTGTGACCACCACCTCCCTGGGCTTCAGAAGCCTCCCTCTTCTTTCCTTGCCTACCCCCACCAGCTACTCCTGGCAGCACAGGAACCTTTAGCACATAGCCCTATCCCAGACACTGTGGGCAACACACAGCAAGTGCTAGAAGCTGGTCATATGACCTCTGCCTGTGGGACCACTAGGCCAGCTAGTGGATCCCACTCTGCAAAGGTCCATGATGACTGCACACAGGAGCTGATAGTAAGCAGTTACAGGATTTTTGCAAACTGCCACAGTCTGGCTGGGCACAATTCAGGAGCCACTTGTCAAAAGAAACGAACTTTTAGAGCCACACACGCCAAACAAAACAGCTCCTCAGGAAAAACCCTCAGAGCCCAACTGCCGCCACCGGCTTCCCACAAGCCTCTCCACCTCCCACAATCCTCCTGCTCTTGAGGCCCATTGGCTGGGTCGCGTGGGCGGAGCCAAAAAGTCCCCCAATGAGCAGCTCCGTGGTCTGAAAGGGCAGGGAAACAGCCCAATGAGCATCACCACAGAGGAGCTAATCAGCTAGATGTTGCTGGGGCACTGTGAGCCAATCATCAGCTGGCAGTCTGAAAGTTTGCTGAGGCCCCTTCTGCTGTGGCTCTCAACAACAAACCATTAGTAAAAGCTAAAATTATATACATTTACAATTGAATTAATCATATAAAAAATAAAGATGGAGCTGGGGAAGGTAGCTCAGTGGTAGAATATGTGTGTGTGTGTGTGTGTGTGTGTACCATGTGTGAGGCCCTGGATTTAATCAGGAAGAAAGAAAGAGAGAAAGGGGGGTGGGGTGGGGAAGAAGATGAAAAAGGAAAACAGAAAAAAAAAGATGATATTCAAAATTTACAACACAATAGTTACTTTACTACACATTACTATTATCTGTGTTCTCACGCCCATGTATTGTTTCTACCCATTGTTGTCTGTAGGATGGAAGTGCTACTATGCTTGTCCTACTCTGGTACAGTAATATCACATTGGTGGCTAGGAATCAGCCACAGTGAGAGTATTTATACCCTACAAATCAGAAAACGCTACACATCAGGACTTGATTTGTTGCTCCTCTCCCTCTCCCTTCCTCACCCTGTCAATGGTCAATACCCTCCACATGGGCTTTCCTGAAGCCATTCCATTGACATTAGTCATTTTTCATTACTATAAGGTATCTGAGGCTAGGGAGCTTTACAAAAAAGCAAAGAGGTTATTTAGCTTACAGTTCTGGAGGTTCAAGGGCATATCATATCACTAGCATCAGTTTAGCTCTGGTGAGCACTTGCATGTGTAAGAGCATTTGTGGGAAGAAGAAATCACATCTACAGATAGGAAGCTAGCTTTCCCATCCATACATATGAGAGATGGGTTCCACAGTGCCTTCCAAGGACACACCCTCCACTGGCCTAAGGACCTCCCACTAGGCTCTGCCTCTTAAAGGTTTCACATCACCTCCCACCAATGCACCTGGGTACAAAGTTTCCAATACATAAAACCCTGGGATATACTCAGACCATATTCAAGCTATAGCAGCATCTCTGATGGCACAGCCACAGGCCGATTTCCAGCTTCTTACCTAAGCCACCATCAGTTTTATCCTCAGCTCATACAATCCAAACTTACAGACTTTGGTTACTTTTGTAGGGGTTCCTCAGACATAAGGGAACCTGTACAATGTTGTAAGGTTCTAAGCAGTAAGAGAGAAAGAAGGAGCTAGGTGCAGTGAGAAACACTTAATTTGTGATAAACAAAATACGCATGTCAAATTTGAAGAGTGAAAAAAACCAAGAGGTATCACTGAGGTCTCTCACTCCACTGAACCCCTGATGCACACAGTTTATTTCCTCTATCATTCATTCCACATGTGTGGAGCTGCACCCTGTGCTAGCACTGGAAGTAGATGTGAGTCAAGCACACGCAGGTTTCCCTCCCACCTCCCACTCCTCCTCCTTCAGGGTTTAGTCAGAGCAGGGAAGGCTGTAGCCTCTGCCACACTGCCCAGCTTTGAATTAAGAGTCCTCTATTTGTGATTTTCCCAACCTTGGTGAGCTTGTCACTATAAATCTAAAAGGTAGGTATTATCAACCCATTTTACAGATGAGGCAGCTGAAGTATAATATGCACAGTTAACCTGTTTTTAATAGATGATAGTGATGTTTCTTAGGGTCAAGTATGTACTAATGGACCAAGTCTGTAAGGTGAGTGTGTTCTAATGAAGTATTATGACCCTATGGCCATTCCCAGTATTGAGATACATTATTCTTTATCCCAATTTCCTGCAATTACATGCCTGAAGAATATCCTTAATCACAGTGTGCAATGCAACCTAGGGTTGTGGAGTTGACCTGGGAGCTTCTCCCTAGGGCTGGGGATGGCACAGGAGACAGTTCCAGGAGAGACTCCCAAGGCACAAGGCACTGTGGCTTTTAGATGATGCACACTTTACAGAAAAGTATGTTAACTATATTTAGAAAATTCAAAATTAAGGTTCCAGCTCTCAAATATCCTGCTTATAAACAGGACTCAACCTTCCTAGAAAGTCTGGGGAAATAGGGACATCATTAATTCTGGTCACACTCCTACCCCTACAAGGTACTGAGGGGCCCAGCTGACTATAAAAGTCCACTTCCAGGGGACAATCCAAACTCCTCAGGAATATACAACTCTAGATAGGGTTCCTCAGCTTTTTAAAACTCATGACCATTTTTGTGTCATGAAAAAAAAAACAAAAAAAACCCTTCTCCTTGTTTGAAATTTCAAAGTAAATTAGGACTGCAAATCTATCAAAACATCTTCCATAAGACTAGTTAAGCATTTATTATGGTGCTAGTCCAGGGGAAAGTCTGAAGAAGGTAGATCAAAATCAACAGCAGCCCCATATGCCTACATTAGGAAATGGCCCCACCCCAGTGCCCAAGCAGGGACTGGATTCAGGTAAGGAAATTAGGCTTCCTCCAGGACTCCTGCTGAGAAACAAGGTCAGGTCCACTCCTCACCTTCCCCAGTTAGTCTTGCCCCACAAAGGACACCTCAAGGACAAAAAGTTAAACCACAATGTGGGACATTCCACAGGGTGACTGATCTGGTTTCTGTGACAAATCAGTGACAGGGGGAATAATGAGGCAGGAAACTAACTGGTTATAACATGGATCATGCCTGGCTGCTGCTATAAACCAACCAACTGTGAAACAATCCAGATGGCCTGACTACAGGTTGACAATGAGACAATTCCAAAAATGTGTGTTTGGTTAGAAGAATGATAATAAGCATTGATTTAAGAAAATATCCATAGTTACATAATTCAAATATGATATATGCATGTATGGAAATGTTACAGCAAAATCCATTAATTTTTACAATTAATATGACTAAATAAATATTTTAAAAGGTAATAGAAATGAAAATTTAAAAAGACAATATCCATATTTGTTAAAAATATCTACTTAAATGAGTAGTGATAGAATGTATGATACTTGGGATTTACTTTAAAATATTTTTTCAGCATCAGGGGCTCTTGCTAAGTGTTGAATATGGGTAGCGGTGTTCTGCTGTGTCATTCTCTGACTTTGTGCATGACTAGAAATTTTCATAATTAAAAGATGTAAAACAAAGAGTCAATTAAAGCTGGGCGCTATGGCACATACCTATAATCCCAGTGACCGGGAAGGCTGAGGCAGGAGGACTGCGAGTTCAGTCAGCCTCAGTAATTCAGCAAGGCTCTAAGCAACTTAGCAAGACCATCTCAAAATAAAAAAATTTAAAAAGAGCTAGGGATGTGGCTCAATGATTAAGTGCCCCTGGGTTAAAAAAAAAAAAAAAAGTCAATTAAAGCAACCATGGCCTTCTTCAGCTCCATGAAATTATGGAGACAATCACCTGAGACACTCTCTGCAACAACAAGTCTTATCATTCACACACAACAGTTACAAGTTGGTTTCTATGTTTGGAAAAGGTTGTTTCCTCAATCTTACTTGTGGGGCTTACAATTCATTTTGTCAACAAAAAAATCTTTGAAAGGTAGAAAACTCCTGGAAGTAAGAGAGCAGGAGGAAGAAAAAAGACACGAGGAATGCTGCTAGGAGTTCCCATACAATTGAAATGGAGCCTAAGGGACTTCCTCAGGTACAGAACAACTGGCTGACCATCTGGACACAATATCTTTATTTATTTTTATGTGGTGCTGAGGATCAAACCCAGTGCCTCACACTGGCAAGGCCAACACTCTACCACTGAGTTACAGCCCCAGTCCAAGAACCTCTGCTCTTAAAGAGGGTTAAAAAGCCACCTGCTGGACTGAAGCCCTTCCCATGGGTTGTTAATACAATTTTTATTTCAGAATATCTGATAGTTTTAGAAATGTTCTCACTGGGTCCCAAAACACCAGACTGACAGTCCATCTCCAAAATCCACAAACACACCAAGCAGCCTTGTCCTGTTGATGGGGCAAGTCATATCCATGGCAGGTTCTGCTTGTAAACACCTCCACCTCCACTTATATATTGCAAATGTCCTGGGCATGCCAGGGGAGGCAATCTAAATGGCAGCCTGCTCGACCACTCGGATCCCCTACTGACTTCTCAGACCACGGGGAGAAAGAGATCCCTCATTCCCAGGTCTATCTCTGCAAACAGATGCCAACAGGTACAATAGATAAGGCAACATGTAGACACAGACATTTAGTTTATTTTTCCTGGCAGTGACAAAAGTCAGCAAAAGACAAGAACTTCAATGCCCTAGAAGTCCTCCTGGATCTAATGTCAGCACATCACTGGCTGGGAACAGGGTGGGATCCCCTTTTTATAATCATCCCATAATTTCTCATCCTAGGACACAGTGCTTTCTTGGGTTTCCTGTCCTCTCAATAAGGACACACAGATTCTCTCTCACCAAGAATATCAATCTAGAAGTTCTTTTATTCTCACAAGCTGTCAGGTGGAGGGAGGGACAGCAGCAGCATTCAGTTTTAGTGAATGGTGGAATCCAAGATGTCAGTTGAAGGTCGCTCCATGAAAGACTGGAGGGTGACTATGCTGGAGGGCTGTTCAGCACTCACTTCATTGCCTGCTGCTTGGTTCTCCCCAGTTGAGGTGTGGAGGACCATCCATCTAATGGCAGAGGAGATCTGAGCTCACTATGAAACCAATAACTGCCTGCAGGACTCTGTGAATACCTATTCCCTGATAGCCCACACATTTCTCTGGGAAGAGCTGGTTCACATCAACGCCGGAGCCTCAGAAAGAACGCATGTTTACACTCTGTACTCTCCAACGGGTAATATTTATCATAAAAATCTAAAACATACTCTTCAGTCTTGAATCCAAACTTCTGGTAGAGCAGCATAGCGGGGTTGCTTGCTGAGACGTGAAGGGTTACATCCTTGCCCATGCAGGTCTGCCAAAAGAGTGGAAAAATACAAGATGAAAACAAAAAGGCCTGAGGGAAAATGAGTAGGTGAAGAAACTCTTTTAAGCGTAAGCAGTTAGTTATGGAAACTGGGGAAATAAGGGACTGAGGCCGAGGCACCACAGTACTTAGCAACGGCTAGAAACCGAAGGACATTTTGCTGCTGATCTAAACATTCCTAAGACTAAGGAGATAATGAAAATCTGGGCATTGTTTTTGTTTTCCTCTGAATCAAAGGGTCAAGGGAGATATTTTATTGTCTACTTATAATTGAATTACATTTAAATGTCAAACATATCAGCATCAACTCTATGACAACCTTCAAGAATTAGAGACTGAGATAGTTCTACTTTTATAAACTAAATGTCATCTCATACCCTGCCCCGCCAACATACAAATTCCTCCCTAGACGTGCTAGAAAAGGTGCTAAACTACACACATAGATACTAAATATTAAGAATTTTTTTTATTAGCTACACATGACAGTACAATGATCTTGACAATTCATACATTTGAATCAAATGGGGTATAATTTCTCATTTTTTTGATTGTACAGGTTGCAGAATCACATTGCTCAGTCACGTATATACATACAGCAATAATAATGTCTATTTTATTCTGCTGCCCTTCCTATCCCCCCCTTCCGCTCTCCTCCCCTCCCATCACTTCTCTCTATCCAATCTAATGTGACACACTGCTTTTTTCTTTTTCTCCTCACAACATCATACATGACGATGAGGATCTCCTTCCATCTTCCGTGCAACTCCCCTTCTCCCTCCTTTTCCCTCCCATCTTTCTTCCCTATTTAGTGGTAATCTTCTTCTCATGCTCTTCCTCCCTATCCCATTTTGAGTCATCCCCCCACCCCTTATATCAGAAAAGACATTTGGCATTTGTTTTTTAGGGATTGGCTAACTTCACTTAGCATAATCTGCTCTAATGCCATCCATTTCCCTGCAAATGCCATGATCTTGTTACTAAATATTAAGAATTTAATCATAAAACCTGAGGACCTTGTCCAGACCCTCTGAATCCCAAATCCACCTTCCATCCCTCCAAAACTGACAGTATTTGCTTCACAGAAATGATATTCCTGAATTTTGCATTGGCCTAATCTTTGAGGAAAAGGGTAATAATTGTTCTGTGAACACAAGACACTCTTAGGTTCTTTAACCAGCTACACAGAATAAGGTGTTCCAAAAGCCAGAGAAATTAGGAACTCGTTTTTTTCTTTTTTTTGTACCAGGGATTGAACCCAGGGGTGCTTCCCCAGTCCTTTTTATTTTGAGACAGGGCTTTACCAAGTTGCTGAGGCTGGCCATAAACTTGTGATCTTCCTGCCTCAGCCTCCCAAGCTGCTGGGATTAAAGGCATGCACCATTACACCCAGCAAGAAGTTGTTTTTTAATGAGGAAGGAACGGGGACTGAAGTTGACAGAGTCCTGAGATTTCTAATCCATGATTCCCAAGGCCTCTCTGTAAGCACTCTGAAGGCCACCTGGCAGCTACCTTCTTTTCTCTGCTTAACCCACAATTTATACCCAAAGCCATTTTGGGGGACAAAAGAGCCCTGCCACTATAACCAGGACAAGGGCATATTGAGCTTATAAAGTAAATTTTGTGGGGTGATGTTAGTGTTTTCTAGATGACAAATACACATCACCTAACCTTGACAATCACCAAGTACTACCAATTGAGCCCCCTGAATTTAGGCCCTGGGATTGATGATCTGAATGGGGTGCAAGATACATACATACAAAGATGAACCACTCCTCCACCCATTTAGCAAAGATCACCTCCATGACAGGTCTTATAATCAGCACTGAGAACACACACTGAGATGTCATCCCTGCCCTCCCTACAGGCCCTTTCTGGTAACACAAAAGGCAGAGAACCCTATAGGCACCCTGCAGAGAAGATCCATTCTGTGGGTGGGATGTGGTAGAAATAACTGAATGGGTCTCAGTTGAAACATAAGTAGCACAGGTTAATTGCTAGGAATGATTTCTTGAGAATAAAGCAATTTCTAGCAAGATGGTTTTTAAGGATCCTACCAACATTTGGGAATTATTAATAAAGTTTCATTACAAATTGGAAAAGAAGTGCCATTAAAAATTGGAAAAACATTTTATCATCTCCAGCCTCTCTTTAGAAGGAATCCTGGTCACATCAAGTTTACACTCAGTACTCTATACTAAATACTTCCTAAACAATAGTTACCAGAAACATTACCAGGGAGAAAAATAATTCCTTGGAGAGGGGAAATTATTGCATTTTTATTTGACATTAGCATACAAATATGTGATATATTTTCTTCAAAGATAAAAGAGATATATCAAAGGAAGAATTGAATATTAGAATCAAGTTGTAGAAGGGTCACAACAGTTTATACAGTGATAGCCAAATTAAAATAAATAGACTATATGCTATTTATTGATACAGTTGTGCTAAAATATTACAACTACTTAAAACAAAACAAAAACTTCTCAGAATTTTGACAGTTTGAGTCCAAGAGCAGCAGCAGTTACCAGTATGGATAGCACACATACGTTACAGTCTTACATTTAGGTGTTTTGTTGTTTAATTTATGACATATATTCACAAAATGGTTTCTCTGAAACCAGGGTTTGAACAGTAATTTTATTTTAGGGGGGGCTCTTATAGCCCCGAGTGGTAATGATTGGCTTCCTTTCACTTGGGCTCTGAGGCCCCACCACTGGGCTGTGCTGGACAGGACCACCTCGGCTTCATGACTCCAGGTCATTTAGTGGAGCCCTGAAAGGTAAATCAGGAGCACAGACCACTTGCCTGAATCAGATGATAGATCATGAAAGTTGCAATCCCCGCTCTTCTCCATTCAGGATGGACAAACAGAAATGAAATATATGCTTCATTATATTTCACATCAGGAACCATGAAGCCAAAAGCAATAATGACTTTTTTATAAAGGACGACTACACTGAAGTCTGGATACTGCAGGCACTCAGACAGGTCAATGCCTAAAGAAAAGAAACAACCAGAGACTCAAACTGTGTGCCTTTTGGAATTAAGGAACACCAAGCTGTTCAATTTGTACTTATAGCTATACCTGCATGCTAAAAAAATCCCAAAATTGGAGGCAAAGATATTACCATAGATACCACACATTCAAATCACAAAAATGAATTTTAGAAAATATCAAAATTAACATAGTCTTTTCTAAATACATATGTTAAAAAGATGAGAGGCAGGACAGGTTGGATAGGAGAGAGCGCTCAGGTTCAGAACCGGACACACCTGGCTTTGACTCAGCCTCCTCTACCATGTGTGTGACTTGGCACATTTCAAAATGTCTCAGGGCCTCAGTTCCTGCAACATGTAAGCAAGGAGCATACCCAGACCTGACAGAGCTGGGTAAAGATCCCAGAGAGTGTCCATTTCATATTACCCCTTCCATATACAACTTATAAGTTTTTTATATAAATGCTACCTTTTATAATAAAGAAGTAAAATTTAAAAAATGATTCTGTGCATGATGTATGAAGGTACCTAGCATAATGGCAGAAGCAGCAGATGCTCCCAGAATGCTACTTTTGGCCCCAGTACCACTCCCAGAAGAATGAGCACAGCTCTGCCACCACATGCATTATTACATGATTATTAGGCAGTAAAGATGACATGGCTCTAAATCTTGGTGAAATCCTAACATCTGGAAGACATGGATTAAATAATCCTTTAAGTTTCAAAGCAGATCCAAAACAACATGTGTAATATTTAGCAATTAAAATGTGTTCCTCTAATTGATGGCTCTGGTCCTCAGAGACAATTTTGTTAAGGCTGATAAGATAACAAACCCTACTGGGTTTACTTTTATTCTCAAAGTCCATGACTGAGGTATTTGGACTTTTAAAAACACCTTTTGGCAGTACTAACACTCACTAAGGAACAGCTAAACCAACAAAGCATAAAGAACTATTAAGCCAAAAACAAAAGTGTCCAAACGCACCCAAGCTACCAGTCTGTGTATCTTTGATAGACATTACCTGGTATCTAAACATAGGTAGAAGCAAAACAGGATGAATCTTTTATTCTGGAAGCAGAGACAAACAGGGAAGAGAAACAAACAAAAACACTGTTTATTACTTTAATTGCTGGCTTCTTCTTGATCTTAGGAAAGTGAGAGGCATTTATAATTTAATATTTCTATGTTAGTAGAAACAAACTACATGAAATCATATGACTAAAGGTCTTAGGGTCATGTGGCATACACTAATTTAAAAAGGTGAACTATATAGAAAATTGATCTGCCTGGTTTGGAAGGGGGAACATACCAGGCCAGAAAAACTCCTGACACATAGAGTTGATCGTTGGGATGTGATTTGGTCGGACATAGCAGTAATCGAGAGGTGCGTCGGGTTCAGGTATCCAATGAGGGTCACTCTTGTGCAGGTGGGAACGAATCTGTGACAGAAGCTGTAGTTTGGGTGGCTTTGTCTCATAATCACGCCTCCAGCAACACAGAAAATAAACAAATTCAAGTCAAGAAAAATAGCTTATATTATTCCTAGCTAACTCACACATACTTTGATCTACTTTAAATTTTAAACTAATTTACACTGCTCTATATGATAGACTCATTATTCGAAATTATCCTAAGCCAGTCTGGATACTGGCTCAACTGAGACATCTCTGCATTTTTTCTCATTTCAGAGACTATTAAACTATAAGATTTAAAATTAAAATGATTAAGATAATCACAAAAAATCTACTAGTTGATTTATCTTTGTTTTATAAAAGGACCATCTTGTCTGTAAAAGGACAGCTGAAACAAAGAAAGGATGGAAGAGCACCCAAATCAGAAGTTTTTGGTCACAGAAAAATGGAGTGCAGAAAGCACAAACATTACTCCCTGTGACACACTCAACACCACATCTCTTCCCCATATACCTGATATAGGGTTTCAAAATTCGAGAAGTATAAGGGCTGACAATACTTTGGTCCACAGCCATATCTTCTGATCCCACCAAACGATACAAAAACTTGGTGGTCTGATGCCGAAATCCTTTCCTGGATGGCAAGGCAGTCTATGTGAAAGAAACGTGGTTATATAAACATAAAATTACTCAAAGGATTGGTTAATTTCCATATGTAATTAGTACTTATGGTATTTCTATGTGTCAGAAAGTAGGTCTTTCTGCATTACTTATTTGGAAAGCTCAAATTTCAGTTAAAACTTTGTAGACAACTTTTGCCAACTAGATAACAAAAAACTAACCCCAGTTATAATAAAGTCAAAATGATTTCTAAAAATTTAAAAATCTTAAGTCACTTGAGTGAAATGCAGGACTAAACACTGGATTTACAGCTTCTTTTTGTCTATGTTATATTTTAGCCAGTCTCTAAATACTAACCAGCACTAGCATCTAGTAGGTAACATACACATGGGACATATTGTATGACTACACTATTATGCAATGTGCCACAGGGGCCAATTACTGCTGTCCTTGTGTATGGGTTTTCTGAAATATGTCAATTTTTCATGAGCCAAACTGACAAAAATGGGAGTGAAAACAAATCTCAATTAGCAGGGAGGCCCTCTCAGAGGGAGGGTATCCTAGCAGAACTGGGGAACTTCACACATTCCCTATGAAGCCCAAGAGCAGCACTGAAGGCATGCTCTTCTGCAATGACTGCTGTTCCAGAGTCCTCATTTGTGTAGTAACAGAACATGTGCAATTAGGGTTTTATAGCAAAGAGCTCAGAAGTAAGATTAAAAGGCACATTTATAAAGTGGATTGCCAAGGGTTGGATGAAGTTTAGAAACCTGAGTTGTTTTTGTAGAATCAGTTTTCTCTTAGCCTAGAAAATAACTTTGTTGAAAGAAGAGCAAGATTTCTTCCTTCGTAATTTGCTCTTACTTTCCCAACCTGGACACCAAAATTTTCAAAAGCCATCTTTGAAATTCTTCCAAGGCTTAAAGTAAGTTTCAAAGTAATCATCCCTGTAGGTATAAGTGGCTCCTCATATCCAAAGGCACAGTCAATTGCTCCTCCCTTTCAATCTGGGTGGGTCTTATGAATAGTTTCGACCAATCAGAAAATGAGAGAAGTAACATGAACTTTGGAATCTAGGTCTAAAGACACTGGCAGCTTCCCATATCTCCCTCTTTGAATTGGCATGCATGTGCTAAACCAGTGAATGACTAGCGGCCACATGGAGACAGACTCTGGAAAAAGAGAAGTATTCTGGGCATTACAGTCGCAACCCAGTTCCCTAGCAAGTACAGCCATATAAGTGACCCCAGTCTTCAGCACTCGAAGTTAACAACGCAGCTGAGCCCAGTAAATTCACAGAATCAGAGGAAATATTAAATAGTTATTATAATAGGCCACTAAATTGGAATGGTTTATAATGCAGCAACAGTAAACTAACACACTAGGCACTTAACAGGTAGCCCACAAAATACTCAAAATACCTGGTTAGTCTCAAGGTGGGTCCTGTGGCACCCCCTGGATGTTATAATGCTTCCCAACTTTCTTCCATCTCCATTGCTTTCATCCTATGCTGAACCAACTTACACTCTGCCTGGACCACCATCACTGTTTCCTGTTGGTCTCTTTGCTACTACTACATCGCCCCACATTATCTACTGAGAAGCCAGAATCTTCTGGGCATGGTGGCTATAATCCCAGCGATTCAGGAGGCTGCAGCAGGAGGATCACAATTCAAAGCCACCCTAGGCAACTTAGCAAGGCCCTAAGTGACTTAGTGAGACCTTATCTCTAAATACAAATTTTTTAAAAAAGGGGAGAGGGCCTAGAGATGTGGCTCAGTGCCCCTTGTGTTCAATCTCCAGTACCAAAAAACAAAATTAAAAAAAAAAACAAAAAACATAAATTCACATCCTAAAAAAAAAAAAAAAGAAAGAAAAAAAGAAATATCCACATCCTTTGATCAAAATTCCCATGGTAGTTTCCCACTATATATTCATGATACAATTCAAACTCCTCAATTGTGACTTGCAGGATCATGTAGAATCTGGTTGCATTACTCCTAAAGCCTCCTCTTCCACCCATTAATTCCTCCGCCATCACCATGTTCCAGGCATACAAACCAGCCTTACTCCTGCCTTTGGACTTCCCTGACCTTCAACCCTGAGCTTTCTTTATTCTGGCTTCTCTTTGCCAATCAGGACTTAGTTCAAGTGTTACCTCTACTAAGAGGCTACCTTTAACCCCCCAGAACAAAGTGGTGCCACTGCCCTCTGCTCCTCTCCTCTACCACAGTACTTGATTTGGATCAGGAGATCTCTGTGTTGATTAAACTAGTCACCATCATCTCTCTGCTTGAGGAGGTCAGCTCCATAAAGGCAATCTTAACTCTGCAGTATTCCCAGGTAGACTGGTGCCTGGCACATCTTAAGTACTCAAGTTACATCTGAATGATAAAGTGGGAAATGACAAAGGGGGAAAATACAACCCAAAGTCAAATAAGTATGAACAATATTATATTCTTCAAAATTCTAATTCTAAACACAATGGAGAGCTAGATTGGCTGCTGGATCCATTCCAAAACCCGACCTGGGAGAATACAGGGAAGATGGAACACAAGGCTGAGAAAAGACTTGGGGAGCTCAATAGTGCTGGGACCTAGTGAGGCAGTGAAAGCAGAACACAGCTCTCCGCCAAATGAGGCTGGGAGCTGCCTGGTTACACAACCTCTCTCCCAGTGCTGCTGTGAATACATTACTGAAAATCAACTTTGTCAGCCACATTTCTGATGGAGGATTATGTCACAGCAGCACTGGAGTCTTCCTGAGGTAGAGGGGAGACTCCACTGTGGACAACCCTGAGCACTACATAATCCAGCAGTGACAACAAAGGGAGAAAAAGGCAGTCCCAGGGCCAGTGGTGCTGTGAGGACCCTTGAGAGGTGAGGCTGCCTGATTGGAAAAAGGTGAGGATGGAAAGTGGGTTAGCCCAGAGCACGCCATTTTACCAAACTTGCCAAGAGGGTCACAAGCTAGGAACATGCCTTTATTTCTGCCAGGTGTATGCTACCAACAAAGATAGCTGAAAAGACTGAGGAAATAAGAGTTCAAAGAGGAAATACCAAGACTCGTAAGTGAGTACAATAAAACTAAAGGAGTATAACAAACTATTGGAAAAATAATTTACCAAATAAGAATTTTTAAAAAGCACAATAATTGTCATTAGGAAAATACAAATCCAAACTACAGTGAGATACCACTTCATACCCACAGATGGCTACAAAAAAAAAGACATAATAACAACATGGTGAGGATATACAGAGAAATCAGAACATTTATACATGGTGAACAATGATGCCCCCACTCTGGAAGACAGTCTAGCAGTTCTTCAAAATGTTAAACATACAGTAAACCATCTGACCCAGCAATTCCACTCCTAAATATACACCCAATCAAAACATATATCCACAAAAGCTTGGATACAAATGTTCACAGCAGCATTATTCATGATAGCCAAAAGGCAGAAACAATCCCAATGTCTATCAACTGATGGAATATTAAGCCATAAAGAGAATAAAACTTGAAAACATTATATAAGTGAAGAAGGTGGTCACAAATCATATGTGACTCCATTTATATATATCCAAGATAGGGAAGCCTATGAGGTGAAGAGTAGATTAATGGGGATAGGAGTAGGGATTTGGGCAGTATAAACAAAAGGGCTCAGGGTGTTTTTTGGGGGTGATTAAATGTTCTAAAATTGATTATGCTTAGACTCTGTGAAGATATTAGAAACTTCTAAAATGTTCAGTTTAAATGGGTGAATTGTTTGGTACATGAATTGTATCTCAATGAAGCTGCTACAAAAGCAAAAGCATAATGAATAAGACTCCAAGGTAATGGAGGTGTCTGGAAATAGGAAGGATTAGTTATGAAGTGTTTCTTATTTAATAACTGATATTAAAAACACGGTTGCTGAAATAAAGCACTCAGTGAATGATGGTAGGGAAGGTCAAGGAATTATTTAAAAAGCCAAAGGAAGAGAAAAAAGATGTACTGGTGTTGCTGGGCACAGTGGTGCACACCTACAATCCCAGAAACTTGGGAGGCTGAAGCAGGAGGATGGTGAGTTTGAAGCCAGCCTCAGCAACTTAATGAGGCCCTTAGTAACCTAGTAAGACCCTGTCTCAAAGTGGGGGGCGGGAGGGGCAGAGGAGGAGATTTTGCTGCAATGTGGCTTGGTGGTAAAGCATCCCTGGCTTCATGTCATCCTAACAAAAAACTGAACAAACTGAAAAGTCAACAGCTCTTCTTAGATCTGCACCAGAAGTGAGGTGACAAGGCACACTGCTGCCCCTCAAGTTAAAGAGAGAGACTGGAGCAGAAACAGGAATCAGTATTGGGGCAGGAAAACCTAAACTATAGTTGAATTTCTGGAATCTCAGTGTGGTCAAGGCAGAGACAATTCTAGAGGGCCCAGACTGAGAGGGAACCCCACACTGTTCTACGTTTTATCTCCAAGAGTTGGACCAGGTTCTCAAAGTGAAGATCAAAGAACCTCCTAAGCCCCACATCAGCAGGGGAGGGGGAAAAGGAACCACTTTGAAATAGGATAGAGAACTTTGTTCTTAACGATGCCTTCTCTCAGGAAAAATTATTTTACTAAAGCCTCACCCACAGGGGTTTCCTCAGTGGATAACTGGCCTTAGAGAAGAGATAATACCCAACTCTAAAACTCCAACACTGTCTAGTCATCCCATTGATTGAGAGTTTCCCACTGATTGGGGAGAAAAACTGAGAAGCACTAGAGAAGTTCATAGCCCAGAGGCACAGGCTCTCTAAAAGACTGAGACCTAAATCACAGGACTATAGAACAACTAACACTTCCTGGCACCACTAACAACTTGTTACTATAGTTCATCTTATCCAAAACATCATGTTTGGCTTTCAACAAAAAAAATACAAGGCATACTAAAGGCAAAAAACACAGTAGGAAGAGATAGAAAAAGCATTACAACCAGACTCAGATATAGTAGGGTTATGTGGGAGTTATTAGACCAGAAATTTTAAATGACTATGATTAATATATTAAGG